AATGCTATAGGCAGCAAGTGCAGCGCTTTCAGCACAGGCTGGATGTGGTCCCACTTCGAGACACCAGCAACCAGCCTGGCCGCCGCATTCTGCACCAGCTGCAGCCTCCACACACCCCTAATGTAGCCAATCCTAACGAGTTTCTGCTGTTGGGTGTGGCCTGTTTTGCTAATGAGTTCCTGCTGGGCGTGGCCAACTCGGGAGCCAGCCGGAACTCCCTTCCTGTGCGTTCCTGCCCCAAAATAGCCCTGGGCATTAGCATTTCATTGGATGTATTGAGAGTGTTGGCTAGAATATACCCCAAAGCCCTCCCCACCCCATGACTCTGGATTTAAGGCCTGGCAAAGCATCTCTATGCTAATGTCAAAACCCAGGGCCTTTTTTTGTTGCAGGAACTCCTTTGCATGTTATTTTATTTATTTATTTATTTATTTATTTAATTTCATTTATACCCCGCCCTCCCCGCATGCGGGCTCAGGGCGGCTTACAGTATATGGGTGCCATACAACACCATAATTCCACAATCAAGGCACACAGTGCAATAAAAATGTAATTAAAACATTTTAAAACAGTTAAATACAGTGGGCAGCGCACAAGGATCCTGCGTGACTGACACACTCACTCCCTATTGCACTTACCCTTGACTCAAAAAGGGAGGATGCTGTGGCCCCGATGTTCAATGGCCTCATCCAGCAGTGCTGCTTTGCAGGCCCCTGTTGGTGGTGGTAGTGGCGGGGGCGGCTCCTATTCGAAAGCCTGGCGGAAGAGCTCCGTCTTACAGGCCCTGCGGAACTGTAACAGGTGCCGCAGGGCCCTGATCTCCTCCGGGAGCTCGTTTTACCAGATAGGAGCCGCCACCGAAAAGGACCTGGCCCTTGTGGCAGCAAGCCTGGCCTCTTTAGGGCCCGGGGTCACAAGACGGTGTTGAGACCCCGACCGAAGTGCTCTTTGGGGCCTGTGTGGGGAAAAGCGGTCCCTCAGGTATGCTGGACCCTGGCCATGTAGGGCTTTAAATAAAATAACATGCAAAGGAGTTCCTGCAACAAAAAAAGGCCCTGGGTTTTGACAACAAACAAGGTAAACAGAATAACAAGCAAAAGGTGGGTGTGGCTGGATGACCACAGTTCTGGTAACGTGGGGGTGTGGGCTAATAGGCTAATGAGCTGCTCTGTCAGGGGTGTAGCCTAATATGCTAATGTGTTTCTGCTGTTGGGCGTGGCCTATTATGCTAATGAGTTCCTGCTGGACTTTTTCTACAAAACCCCCACTGCTAATGCCCAACCAGACAGACCAGCATCGCTACAAAGAAATTGTATGCATGCCCCAGAACAGGGGTCTCCGACATGGTGCCCGTGGGCATCAAGGTGTTACCAACACCTGCCCTGGAGCCCATCAAGTGTTTTTATAAAGTGGGCCAGGCCAGGTGGGACTTCTGCCCAGCAAGGCTTCTGACTGGCCACTGAAAGTCTGAATGGCTGTGTAGATTTTTAAAAAATGTTTCTTTGGCAGCAGCTGCCACCACAGCACAAGGATCTTCACTATGTGACTTGAAGGACAGCCGTGGCAGCCATTTTGTGGCTGTGCCCACCACGCCAGGTGGCAATCACCAAAGGTTCCTGTCAGCTCAAAAAGGATGAGGGACCCCTGCTCTAGAACACGCCACCAAATCCTCTATGCTGAGTTGGGGTTTCTGATGCACACGTGCCTCGGTTTCTTGGCAGATGTACGGATCGACAGACACTGCCCCGAGACTGTCTGAAAACCTCTTCCAGAACACCACAGAAGAAGAACCAAGCGTCTCAAACAAAGAGAAAGGCGCAAACCCAGCCAGTCACCACCAAGCTCACCCTGACTGCAGTCGCAACTCTCTAGTCCTCAAGAGGGTTTGGAGTGACGCACACAGTTTCCGGCAGGAAGCCTTCCCCCAGCAAAACACAGCGCTTACCTCTGAGTGGGTCTTAATGATGTGATACTTGACTCCGCTTTCTGAGCTAAACTCCTTCTGACACAGAAGACATCGGTATTTTCCCACGGAGTGGTCCCCCTGCAAGGCAAACACCAGTTAACGTGAGCTCCCGCTCCTGCTGCAACCTTCACTCTTGCAAACTTAAGAGCTCGTCTGCACAAAAGGCAGACGAGAGAGTAAAATCGTTCTTGGACTGCACCGCCACGGACAGCAGATGACGGAATCATGTGACTGATTTCAACGATAGCATGGTGCCTTGCTATCAAGTTCAGATGACCACTCGGTGAATCGAATGCTTTACCATCTTTACTAGCAATGCTCCACCATCTTTACTAGTACCATCTGACTCTTGGTTGGAAGCTTGGCTTAGCCCAATGGACTCAAAGCTGGTGCTGGGTTTACAAATTATAAGAACATAAGAACGTAAGAGAAGCCAATGTTGGATCAGACCAATGGCCCATCCAGTCCAACACTCTGTGGCACACAGAAGCCAAAAATACCAGGTGCCATCAGGTCCAGCAGTGGGGCAAGGACACTAGAAGCCCTCCTACTGTTGCCCACACTCCCCCAAGCACCAAGAATACAGGGCATCCCTTGCCCCAGACCGAGAGTTACTATCTGTACCTTGTGGCTAATAGCCACTGATGGACCTCAGCTCCATATAAGAACATAAGAGAAGCCAATGCTGGATCAGGCCAATGGCCCATCCAGTCCAACACTCTGTCACACAGTGGCCAAAAGTACCAGGTGCCATCAGGAGGTCCAGCAATGGGTCCAAGACACTAGAAGCCCTCCCACTGTTTCCCTCCCCCCCAAGCACCAAGAATGCAGAGCATCACTTGCCCCAGACTGAAAGTTCCTATCTAGACCTCGTGGCTAATAGCCACTGATGGATCTCTGCTCAATATATTTATCCAATTAAAACACCTCAGTAATTACAGAGTTAACTTTGTGTTGGTCAACAGGAAGTAGCATGTTTATCATACCCAATCTGTTACTAAGTGTGTGTGATGGCAGCCTAAGAAGAAGAAGAAAAAGAGGAGATTGGATTTATACCCCCGCCCTTCACTTGGTAGGGTTGTCAGGTCTGGATTGGAAACTACCTAGATACTTTGGGAATGGAGCCAGGAGAGGGCGGGGTTTCAGGAGGAGAGGTGCCATAGAGTCCACCCTCCGATGCAGCCATTTTCTCCAGGGGAGCTGATCTCTGTCAGCTGGAGATCAGTTGTAAAAGTGGGAGATCTCCAGGCCCCACCTGGGGGATGGCAACCCTATCACTTGGGAGTCTCAGAGCGGCCTACAATCTCCTTCCACTCCCTCCCCACAACAGACACCCTGTGAGGTAGGTGGGGCTGAGAGAGCTCTGAGAGGACTGCTCTTGAGAGAGAACAGCTCTGAGACAACTTGTAACTGACCCAAGGTCACACCAGCAGCTGCATGTGGAGGAGTGGGGGGAAAACCCGGTTCTCCCAGATTAGAGTCTGTGCTCCTAACCACTACACCAAACTGCCTCTCAGGCGGCAGACATCAAAACATTTCAACCCGTGTGTGCCATAGTGCCCGCCAGGGGTCATTTCGTAGAAAAAGAGGTGCAGGAGCTCATTAGAATAACTCATTAGCATACCTTATTTGCATATGCCACACACTCTGGCTTCACCGGAAGTATGTCAGAAGGCAGCACCCACCACTCAGGCGCCACTGGACTGTTTTGGATTGCTAGCTATTGGGGGGGGGGACGTGTAGATCTGTCCTCGCACACGAGGGAGCGGTACCTGAATAAAACTTGGTCTTAAAGGTGCCACTGGACTGTCTTGGACCAGGGGGACGGGGGGAGCTCTGCAACTTACCTGGCTGCTTCTTGTTCTGACTGAGGGCTGCTAGGAGCAGGGGGTGGGGCTTGTTGCATGTGCCCGCCCCCTGGGCTCTTTACTGCTGGAGCTCCGCTCCTGTGCGCTCCTGCAGGAAATGACCCCCAGTGTTTTCCGAAAGAGGGCAGGACCACGTGAGGCTTTTGACCAGCAAGACGTCTGACGCTGCTCTCCCCCACAGCGAAAGGGTCTTTAACCCGTGGCTGAAAATAAGCCGCCTCCGCCATTTTGGGGCTGTGCTCACCACGCCGCGTCCGCATTCCTATATCTATTTTTACATTTAAATATTGCCAGGAACGCACGGCCCTCGCAGAAGCCAGCCCGCCCAGCCTGTGCTAGAAACACTCGAGCAGAGACTTCCTCTAATTTATGGTCTGGGTAGATCGATACAGGCTTTCAGTAATTTCTCTTCTAGGCTGTTGAGCAGCTAATTAAAACACCAGATTTCTGCCATCGGTGATGGGCTTTCAACCCTTCTTTGTTAAAACACCAGATTTCTGCCATCGGTGACCTTGCGGGGAAAAACGAATGGGCTTTCAACCCTTCTTGGAACAATCAGGAGAGAGTGCCCTAAGATATTCTCCATCGACAAGGACATAATGGATGGCCGCCCCGAAGCTGCGGTGTAGATTTGAAGGAAGAGGGTTTTTGTGGTATTAGACGCATCCGTCTGAAGCGGCTGAACCGACAAATTGGCCGTTCCCGGCTCCATCGGAACCTGCAGCGATGGTTACTAGCCCCAGTGGATTTCAAAAAGCGGGCCTGGTAAATATTCATAGAATCATAGAATGTTAGAGTCGGAAGGGACCTTTGCAGGTCATCTAGTCCAACCCCCCGCACTCTGCAGGAGCGTAGCCGAAAGACAGCCCTACAGCATACCCGAAAGAGATGGTCACCCAGCCTCCGCTTGGAAACGTCCAGCGAAGGAGCATCCACCCCCCCTCCCGAGGTAGACTGTTCCACTGCTCGACCTCTCTTACAGTTAGGAAGTCTTTCCTGATATTTAGCCAGTAACGACTCCCTTGTCATTTCCACCCATTCGATCTAGTCTTGCAATCCGGAGCAAGAGAGAATAAAGTTGAGCTGCTTTGACCTGGATGGCCCATGCTAGCCCCAATCCCATCAGATCGCAGAAGTGAATCAGGGTCAGCCCTGGTGCTTGGACGGGAAGTCCAGGGTTGCTATGTGAGGAAGACCAAGGAAGTCCAGGACGGCTACGTGAAGGCAGGGAACAGCAAACCACCTTTGTTCATCTCTTGCCTCGAAAAACCAAATGGGTCGCTGTAAGTCAGCCGTGATTTGATGGTGAAGAAGAAGAGATTGGATTGATACCCTGCCCTTCACTACCCGAGGGAGTCTCAGAGTGGCTTATAATCCCTTTCCCTGCCCCTCCCCACAACCAGACGGCCTGGGACCTGGGACCACATGCTCTACTACTGCACCACGGCTACTCTCCTATAGGTGGCTGGAGCAATAAGAACATAAGAACAGAAGAGACGCCAATGTTGGATCAGGCCAAAGGCCCATCCAGTCCAACACTCTGTGTCACACAGTGGCCAGAAATACCAGAGGCCATCAGGAGGTCCACCAGTGGGGCCAGGACACTAGAAGCCCTCCCACTGTTGACCCCCCCAAACACCAAGATGACAGAGCATCAGGGGTCAGTTTGTAGAAAAAGAGGTGCAGGAGCTCATTAGCATAACTCATTAGCATAACTCATTTGCATATGCCGCACCGGGGGGGGGGGCTCTGCAACTTACCTGGCTGCTTCTTGCTCTGACTGAGGGCTGCTGGGAGCAGTGGGCGGAGCTTGTTGCATGTGCCCACCCCCTGGGCTCTTTACTGCCGGAGCTCCGCTCCTGTGCGCTCCTGCAGGAAATGACCCCTGCAGAGCATCACTTGCCCCAGAGCCCCTATCTATACCTTGTGGCTAAGAGCCACTGATGGACCTCTGCTCCATATGCTTATCTAATTCCCTTTTGAAGCTGTCCATGCTTGTAGCCGCCACCACTTCCTGTGGCAGTGAATTCCAAGTGTTAATCACTCTTTGGGTGAAGAAGGACTTCCTTTTATCCGTTCTAAGCCGACCGCTCAGCAATTTCATGAAGTGCCCATGAGTTCTTGTATTGTGAGAAAGGGAGAAAAGTACCTCTTTCTCTAAATGCCCTTTCCCATGCAATGTTCCCTCTAAGCTGTGGAGACTTACGAGTAAAAATCCTACTTTGTGAGCCACTGGCATTAAGGTTGTGAGCAGGTGATTTGGCTGCTGCATGAATCAGTTTGCTCTGGAGCCCTCCTTCCTGAGCTGAGACAAAAATGTGTGAGCTGGAGACTTAAAAAACTGTGAGCTAACTCACACTCACTCAGGTTAGAGGGAACAGTGCTCTGGAGGACACGCCTCTTCACGGTCCAGGCTGCTGCTACGGCTTGCTGCTTCTGATCCCAGAGTTGCCCTCTGGGAATTCTGGAGACAGACGGAACCAAAGGGGGCGTTTCCGGTTCTCCACTTCAAGCGGCGCCAATTAATCTATTTAGAGTCCTGCCCAAGGTGACTCTCAAAGCAACAACAAACAAACAACAACAACAAAACCCTTGAGACTCTTACCTTGTTGCAGTTTGCGAGGTGGGCTTTTAAGCCAGACACGCTGGAATAGATGGCGGCGCAGCACTGGGAAGGAAGGAAGACAGAGAGGAAGATGGTGAGTGGGGTCCTCCCGCCCCCTCCCTTCGAGGGAAGGGTTCCTGCGTTTCCAGGACTGCGTCTCCGCCATTCCCGGGAGGTCTCCTCTCGAGGTGAGTGCCGTCTAATCAACGCAAGGTTATTTGATAGATCATCCAACGGGATCTCGCCACATGCTTCTCATTAACACTAATGGGAGTCGTGCGGCTTAGCACCCGGTAGGCAAAATTTATCCTTCAGCGGGTCTTTGAAACGTGCGCATTTGACAAGCAGTTACGGGAGGCCCCGCTGGGCAATCGCACAGCAGTGTGGGAAGAGGCTGCCGCTCAAAGGAAAAAGCGGCTGCATCGTCTAGGTTTTACATTCAAAAGAAGAAAAGAAGAAGAGGAGATTGGATTTATACCCCGCCCTTCACTACCCAAAGGTCTCTCAGAGCGGTTGACAAACTCATTTCCCTCCCCCTCCCCACAACAGACACCCTGTGAGGTAAAAGAAGAAAAAGAAGAAGAGACTGGATTTATAGAAGAAGAAGAAGAAGAGATTGGATTTATACCCCGCCCTTCACTACCCAAAGGTGTCTCAGAGCGGCTTACAAACTCCTTTCCCTTCCCCTCCCCACAACAGACACCCTGTGAGGTAAAAGAACAAAAGGAGATTGGATTTATACCCTGCCCTTCACTACCCGAAGGAGCCTCAGAGCGGCTTACAAACTCCTTTCCCTTCCCCTCCCCACAACAGACACCCTGTGAGGAAGAAGAAGAAGAAGAAGAAGAAGAAGAAGAAGAAGAAGAAGAAGAAGAAGAAGAAGAAGAAGAAGAAGAAGAGATTGGATTTATGCATGCCCTTCACTACCCAAAGGCGTCTCGGAGCGACTCACAATCCCTTTCCCTTCCCTTCCCCACAACAGACACCCTGTGAGGTAAAAGAAGCAGAAGAAGAAAAAGAGATTGGATTTATACCCCGCCCTTCACTACCCAAAGGAGTCTCAGAGTGGCTTACAAACTCTTTTCCCTTCCTCTCCCCACAACAGTCACCCTGTGAGGTAGAAGAAGAAGAAGAAGAGATTGGATTTATACCCCGCCCTTCACTACCCAAAGGAGCCTCAGAGCGGCTTACAAACTCCTTTCCCTTCCCCTCCCCACAACAGACACCCTGTGAGGTAAAAGAAGAAGAAGAAGAGATTGGATTTATACCCTGCCCTTCACTACCCAAAGGCGTCTCAGAGCGACTCACAATCCCTTTCCCTTCCCTTCCCCACAACAGACACCTGGTGAGGTAAAAGAAGAAGAAGAAGAAGAAGAAGAAGAGATTGGATTTATACTCCGCCCTTCATGACCCAAAGGAGTCTCAGAGTGGCTTACAATCCCCTTTCCCTTCCCCTCCCCACAACACCCTATAAGTTAGGAAGGGCTGAGAGAACTCTGACAGAAATGGCTCTTTTTCAAGAACAGCTCTTATCAGAACTATGGCTTGCCCAAGGTCATCCAGCCAGGTGCAAGTGGAGGAGTGGGGAATCAAACCCAGTCCTCCCAGATTAGAGTCCGCGCACTTAACCACGACACCAAACTGGCTCTCTGGTGTGTGTGTGTGCAAGCGCTAAGTGCTGTCAAGTCCCTTCCGACTTATGGTGACCCTATGAATGAAAGCCCTCCAAAACGTCCTGTGTCTTTCACAGCCCTGCTCAGGTCTCACAAACGAAAGAAGAAGAGGTTGGATTTATACCCTATGCCCTTCACTACCCGAAGGAGTCTTAGAGCGGTTTACAATCTCCTTTCCCTTCCCCTCCCCACAACAGACACCCCGTGAGGCAGGTGGGGCTGAGGGAGCTCTTTCGAGGACTGCTCTTGAGAGAGAACAGCTCTGAGAGAACTTGTGACTGACCCAAGGTCACGCCAGCAGCTGCATGTGGAGGAGTGGGGAATCAAACCGCAGATTAGAGTCCGCGCTCCTAACCATGACACCAAACCGGAGACGTAAGCTGTAGATATGCACCCAAAGCTGGTTTGTGTGTATGCTTCCCCCCCCCCCTCTTCCTGCCAAAATATATGTGTCTGATTTGCTGAGAAGATTAAATGCGACAGCCCTCGAGCAGCCGGGAATCTAAGCGTGCAAACAACTAATCAGAATTGCCGGCATGCAAAGACACTTGATCTGAATATGCAGCTCCGCTAATTGCATCCCTCGGCTTTAAAAATCAGTGCCGTCTTCCCCTAATTAGGACGTATACACAAAATTCCTGCCGGAAAGCAGGTTTCTTTGCCACAACGCAAAGGCCGGCAACATCTGACTGATCAGCCGGAGCTACCTGCCACAGCTGAGGTGCAAACAGGTTTCAGACTGTGGGTGGCTCATTGCGTAGTGATCAAACGACCCCCTGCCGAGGCTGAACCACAGGGTTGGACTGTGGAGAGTTTCCACAATGGGATGCAAAGCTTACTTGACTAACTGCAGCAGGAGTAAACAAGAATCTCAGCTGATGTGTAGATTTCAGAACCACTTTACATAGTGTCCTTTTTGAAAGGGCACATTTAAAATCAGAAAAGAGTAGGAGTCCAGTAGCACCTTAAAGACTAAACAGATTAGAGAGCCAGTTTGGTTGTAGTGGTTAGGAGAGTGGACTCTAATCTGGGAGAACCGGATTGGATTCCCCACTCCTCCACATGCAGCTGCTGGTGTGACCTTGGGTCAGTTACAAGTTGTTTCAGAGCTGTTCTCTCAAAAGCAGTTCTCGAAAGAGCTCTCTCAGCCCCACCGACCTCACAGGGAGAGGAGGCCGGGCTTCACTCCCAGGTACAGGGAGAGGAGGCACTGGGCTTCACTCCCAGGTACCGCCGGCTCTTCGTTACTTTTAGAAGAGCTTTTGGGAGATCCTGAGCTCCGCTGGACCCCCTGGAAGGAGGTCTGGTGCAAGGGACTTGATTCGGGGCTCCCGCTTGCAGCAGCAAGTGGGTGGAAGCCCTGGATTGTCCCCGACGCAAGGGACGAAGCAGCGCGGTCATGGCAGCCATGACTGCCCCAGCTGTGAACAACCCGACAAGAGAGTTGTTTTGAGCCTCGTCCATAACACCAATGAAGATTTGTACTGTGAGCAGGGGTCTTTTCCTAGAAAAAGAGTTGCAGGAGCTCGTTAACATACGGTATGCTAATGAACTACTAGGCTATTAGCATAGTAGCTCATTAGCATATGCAACGCCCCCTGACATCACCGGAAGTGATGTCAGAAAGGGAAGCAAAAGGGGGGGGGGAGGCATATTCAAAGGCCTCCCCTTCCTTTCCCCAGCCAGCGGGGGCGGGGAAGGGAGCGAAGAGAGAAGAGGTTTAAAGTTTAAACCCCTTCTCACTAGAGTTGGGCCGCAGAAGGAGGAAAGAGGGAAGGAAAGAGAGAGAGAGAGTGTGTAGAGAGAAGGAACAATGGAATGAAAGAGTGAAAGAGAAGGAAAGAAGGAAGGAAAGAGGAAAAGAAAGAGAAGGAAAGAAGGAGGGAAAGAAAGAGCGAGAAGGGAAGAAGGAGGGAAAGAAAGAAAGAGCGAGAAGGGAAGAAGGAAAAGAGGTAAAGAGAGAGAAGGAAAGAAGAAGGAAAAGAGAGGAAGGAAGGAAGAGAACGGAAAGAGAGAAAGAAGAGGAGGGAAAAAAGGGCAAAGAGATGGGGGGAGGCTCTCCCACCCCCACTCCCCCAATCAAGCCTCCACCACCCCCACGGATCCCTCACTTACCCTGGGAGGCAGCGGGGGCCCTCTTCTGCCCTCCCACGGGCCGCAGCACTCCGGCGCTGGCCTTGGGAGGCGGCGGGGGGCCTCTTGTGACCCCCCCAGGGCTGCAGCACTTTGGGACTAGCCCTCCACAGGCCGCAGCGCTCCAGCGCTGGCCCAGGGAGGTGGCAGGGGGCCGCAGCGTGGGGAGCTGGGGGCGGGGCTTGTTGCCACCGCCATTTGTTCTGGCGCCTGGGCTCCCGGAGCAGCACTCCGGCGCGCTCTGGCCCCAAAAGACCCCTGACTTTGAGTGTATGTAAAAAGCAACACCGAAGAATCCAACAACGGTTTGGCTAAGCCCCTTTAAATCTTTAAAAGGACAAGGAGAGGTGGAAATTCCTCCCCTTCCTCTTCCAAGCAGTTAGAACGAGTGTCTAAAGAGCAGTTCTCGAAAGCTCTCTCTCAGTTCTGCCTACCTCACAGGGTGTCTGTTGTGGGGAGGGGAAGGGAAGGGGAAAGGAGATTGTCAGCCGCTCTGAGACTCCTTCGGGTAGTGAAGGGCGGGGTATTAACCCCATCTCTTCTCTTCTTCAAATTTGTGGTAGGGGACGAGCAGTGACTCACGAAAGCTTCTCCCCTGCCACAAATTTGGTTCGTCTTTAAGGTGCTCCTGGACTCTTGCTCTTTTCTACTGGTGCAGAGAGACTAACATGGCTACCCACCTCGATCCACATCTAAAATCGCCATGTTAAGGAATGGAACAAATACATCTACAAACATAACTCAAGCAGACGGCCACGATATTGGGACAGTCTGGGACTGACAGCCTTAGAGGAGCCCAGAATTCCTTTACCCACAATGCAGAGGGGCAGGGAGGAGTTCTTTGCACCATCAGCGCCTGAGGGGCTGGCATTCAGTCTAGCTGGATGTTGCCACTGGCTCAGGGCTAGGAAGCACCTGGCATCTACAGAAAAGGGGATGCCCTCAAAAAGAGGGGAGCCAGTATGGTACACTGGCTAGGCTGTCAGACTAGAAACTGGAAGGCCCAGGTTCAAATCCTCACTCTGCCACGGCCGCTCACTGGGTGACCTTGGGCCAGTCACTCACTCGCAGCCTGACCTACCTCACAGGGTTGTTGTGAGGATAAAGTGGAGGAAAGGACAAAACATAAGCCGCTTTGGGCCCTCACCGGGGAGAAATATAAATGAAGGAACTTTTTAAGGGGGGAGGGCTCTGCCTCTCTGCAAGTTCTAGACTGGGTCCCTGCCTCGGGCTGTTGACCCAAACATCTCCTGCCCCATTCAATAGTGCATAGTGGTGCCCTTGCATATTCATAGCAGATGCCAGCAATCATGGCCACCTTCACCCACCCCAGGCAAGAGAAGCATGCCTCTCTAGGACTGCTCATCTCCATGCCCATCTCCAAATCCTGTCTCCGGACCCTACGAGCACTTACGTTATTAGGGCAGTTGATGTGTCCTTTCTCCTTCACTTCGTTTTTCCAGGTCTCCAGAAGCCTTGGGTTCAACTTCGGAAGCCCAGGTCGGGTGTAATTTAGCTGCCAAACGAGAAGTTGTTGTTAATTAGATTCATCACGTAGTTAGCTTGCGGGGGGGGGGGGGGGTCGGACAGCATCACAGATGAAGGGGGTGTAGTATGAATGGGAATATAAAGATTTTCATATATAAGTTTCTTCTTCTTGATTGTTCATATTTATATTTCTCTGGTTTTTATAGATTTATTATTTAAGTAATATTTTATTAGGATGTTAGAAAGGCCTGTTATATAGAAGGCTTTTCTCTTGTAGGTCTGATATTGTTAGCAGACAACATAATAGGTACAAAGTTCATGATTCTGTAGTTCTTAGGGCAAACCTTGCAATGTCTGGGTCAGATAGGATTTTAGTCTCGTATCAGTAATGAATACTTTGGTTTAGGTAAGAACAAGCTTTAGCTGATATGCCTTAGGTCATGTCAAGTAAATATGTGACGCCATTGCATAGACACACCTTTCTTACATTTGACCAATAAGGAGATTTTTATGTAAATGTTGTTTAAGTTTTTGTAACCAATTATGCCTTTTGAATATTATTCCCATGATGATGATATGATGATGTCAGTCCACGTATAAAATATCATGTATTTCCTGAATATGTTCAGAATATGCTCAAGAAGAAGATGAAGAAGAAAAAGAAGAAAGTTGTCAATTTTTGGTTAACAATTTGGTCTAATTGTTTTCCTATTAAAAGAGGCATGTTTCCTGATTATGCTGAGAAGAAAGCAGTCAGTTTTGATGGGTCCTTTGGCCTGTTTTCCATATTTCATTACGATAAAATACAAGAACCTCCTCCTCATTTGACTTCATTTTTGACATGGAATCTAATGTTTACAACAGGGGTGGAAAACGTCGCAGACTGGCTGGAGATGCTCTGACATATGCCGGAACCAGACCTGATGCCGAACACCAAGCCGCACCCCAAAACGGAAAGCCTGTGCTGAGTTCCTCCTTTTGCTCCCCGTCACGGCTCACAAGGGAGACACCCTGCTTCGGTGGGGAGCAAGGTTTTAAATCACAGGATCCTAAACTGGAAAGGGTCTTACAGGCCATTTATATCAATCCCCGTTCAGGGCAGGGAATCCATGACGGGTGGCTCTCTGGCTTCTTACGGAAGACCTCCACCAGGGGCCCCTTTAAGTGCAGAGAGCTGGCGTTCCCCACCCCATGCGCAGCATCGGGCGCATGGGAAATGCTGGCTCCTTGCATTTAAACGGGCCCCTTTAAGTGCATGGAGCCGGCGTTCCCCCCCCGCGCGCGCAGAGATCGGGCGCACGGCCCGCAGCCACCCCTCTGCCTCCTCTCTCTCAAGAGAGAAGGGAGAGGGGTGGCTGGGGGTGTTTGGGGATTGGGGGCGGGACTTCCCCCAATGGCCAACTGGCCGGCGGTGGGTAGAAGCCCCCCAAAAGCGGGGGACCCCTGTCAAACTGGGGGGGTTGGCAGGGCCGGCCCCAGCTTATTTTACACCCTAGGCGAAGATCCCTTCTGGCGAAGATCCCATGCACCCACCAATTTTCAAAAATAAATGCATTTTAGGAAGAATGAAAAACACAAATAATCAAGAAACTCCCAGAGTACGGGGCCGGGTGCAGCTTGGCGCCCCTAAGGGCCGGCCCGCTCTAGGCGATCGCCTCGTTCGCCTAGTGAGTGAGCCGGCCCTGGGGGTTGGCAACCCTATTCGACACCCCCGCCCTATGGGATCACTGTAACTCAGCTGCTACCTGATGGCCCTTTGCAACACCAACTCAAGCCCATAGGGATAAGACCTGGTCCCTCCCCCCACCCATGCAATAGAGAACGTCTTCACCCACTTCCCTGATTCAGCGAATTCAAGACTACCAGCGCATCTTTCCTCAGTCTTCTCTTCTCCAGGCTAAACATACCCAATTCCATCAACCTTTCCTCACAGGACCTATTTACGGATTGGACTACTCCAGAGGCATCTGGATCGGGGCAGGGCGGCAGTGCTGCTGTTGCTAGACCTGTTGGCGGCGTTCGACATGGTCGACCATCAGCTGCTTGCCCACCGCCTCGCCGACATGGGGATTCAGGGGCTCGCCTTGCAATGGCTTGTCTCCTTTCTCCAAGGTCGGGGACAAAGGGTGGCCATTGGGGAGCAGCAGTCCCGAAGGCACCCCACCCCCTTGCCCAGATTGCCCGGAGGCATGGGCTGGGTTGTCACAAATATGCGGATGACACCCAGCTCTATCTGATGTTGGGCGGTCAGTCTGACTCTACCCCAGAAGATCTGGACCAGGCGTTGCAGGATGTGGCTGGATGGCTTAGACTGAGTTGATTGAAATTGAATCCGACGAAGACGGAGGTCCTGTGCCTGAGTCGGAGCGGTATGGGGGTAGGGATCCCACTCCCGGCCTTCGGTGGGGCGCCGTTGGTGCCAGCTCCGAGGGTCAGGAGTTTGGGAGTGCTCCTGGATGCTTCCTTAACAATGGAGGCTCAGGTAGCGGCCGCTGCCAATGCAGCCTTTTACCATCTTCGGCTGATTAGGCAGTTGGTTCCCTTCCTCGAACGCAATGATCTGGCGACAGTGATCCACGCTATGGTCACCTTGAGGTTGGACTACTGCAATGCTCTCTATATGGGGCTGCCCTTGGTGCAACTCCGGAAGCTGCAATTGGTGCAGAATGCGGCGGCCAGGCTGTTGATGGGAATCCCCAGGTGGGAGCACATCCAGCCTGTGCTTAAGACTCTGCACTGGCTGCCAATAGCATTCTGGATTCGCTTCAAGGTGCTGTTTTTGACCTTTAAAGCCCTCTATGGTCAGGGACCGGCCTACCTGAGGGACCGCCTTTCCCCACATGTTCCCCAGAGAGCACTGCGATCAGGATCCCCAAACCACCTGGACCTCCCTGACCCTAAGGAAGTCAGGTTGATGGTGACCAGGACGAGGGCTTTTTCGTTTGTAGCTCCGTCCTACTGGAACGAGCTCCCTGCCGAGATCAGGGCCCTGCGGGACTTGCCACAGTTCCGCAGGGCCGTGAAAACAGAACTTTTCAGGCAGGCGTTCCGATAGGAGCGACGTTTTACCAGCAGCACCCTGTGGCGAACTCCGATCCTATACGAGCTAATGCGGCGGTACCGCCGACTGTGTCCCTAAATTGCACTTTAGTTTTATCGCCATCTAATGAATGTTTTATATTGACTGGTTATGTTTTAACTGATGTTTCATATTTTATTGTGAATGTATACTGCTTGTCAGTTCCTGGAAGCCGCCCTGAGCCTGCCTAGCGGGGAGGGTGGGGGGGAAAGTGAACTAACTAAATAAATAAATTAACCATCAACATCACCCTCCTCAGCACTTGCTCCAATCTGTCTACACCTTACTTTAAAGTGTGGTGGTCAGAACCGGGC